GATGCCAATGGAAGCAGCAGTCAGGACATCATATAACATATAGCACTGGGCAAGTCACCTGCAAAGGACCTCTTTCAAGTGCTGAGGAGCAAAAATGTCTCCTTGAGGACTCAGGTGTGCCTGACACAAGCCATGATATTTTCAATCATCTCATATGCATGTGAGAGCTGGACAATGAATAAGGAAGACTGAAGAAGAATTGATGCTTTTGAGTTGTGGTGCTGGAGAAGAACGCTGAAAGTACCGTGGAAAGCTAAAAGTACTAACAAATCTGTCCTGGATGAAGTGTAGCTGGAATACTCCTTGGAAGGGACATTGGTCAGACTTCGTCTCATCTACTTTCGTCATGTTGTCAGAGGGACCATTCCCCAGAGAAGGATGTCATGCTTGGTAAGGTGGAGAGTTGACAAAAGAGGGGAAGGCCCTCAACGAGATGGATTGACACAGGGCTGCGGCAATGAACTCAAATATAGCAAGGATCACAAAGCTGGCGCAGGACAGGGCGGTGTTTCATTCTGCTGTGCATGGGGTCGCTATCAGTCAGAGATGACTTGAGATGACTTGATAGCACCTAACAACAATGGCAGATAATTATTTGATTTCAGAATTTCTGACAGCTAGCTTCTTTGGCTGTTAGGTGTCTGGCCTCAGGGTTCACAACAAGTTCTGTATTTACACCATAATCTTGGCCTATATGAATGAGTTGCAAAAAATATTCTACTTTGATGAAAGTCAGACCAATTTATATCTTGCCAGTTAAGCAAGGAGTTATGTATACAAACCTGAATTAAATAAGATTATAGTTCTAATTTCCTGTAGTGATGCCAAGGATTCCTTATGGATTGATGGCCAGGCTGTTCACTGCTTGTCTGCCATGAATAAGTCAATGAGAATACTGAAATTATTACATCTTACAAAAAGTTCAAAGAGTTCAAGGGATGTAAATCATTATTACCATTTTCACAAGACACTAATGCAATGATTTCCAGACATGGCTTTGTAGCGCCTCAAAACATCTTCAATCGTATTTAAAGGTATTATAAACTTACCCTCCTCAATCCTTCTAGAAACAAAATTAATTTCAATGTAAAGTTGTTTTTGTTTTTATTTATTTTGTTATTGTCCTTTGGGTGCAAAAAAGATCACATTACATATGACACTTTTAGAAGCATGTCATATGATAAAATGTTATAAATAGATGAGAATTAGCAAATAACTGATACAGGACACAAATACTCTCAAAACTTGTACATAAATTATCTTTGCTATTGTTTTAAGTAACATTCATGTGGTCTCTTTAAAGTGCCTCACTCTAAATTAAATTTGTTTTGTTTTGCTTTTTTAAAGACACTCCTAACTGGTATTATGTATATATATATAGGCATATATGTATATAGGTATGTATATATGTGTGTGTGTGTAAGCATATGTATATGCATATGTATCCATGTATCTATGCACATATTTTTATATGTATAATAAAGTTATGACATAGAGAGCAGTTACAGATACATCTTAGACATAACCAAATACCTTACAGGATTGGATTTCTGGGTATGAAGAATTAAGACCATAGTCTCATGGGGCATTTTGTTCAATTGCCGTAATATAGTTCATAAAGTTATGTCCTATATCTTAGTTTGTTGGGTAGTATCTGTGTCTTAAAATTTTGCAAGCAGCTATCTAAAATACAACTATTTGTCTCTACTCATCTATAGCAAAAGAGAAAGAAGGAAACCAAAGACTCAAAGAAGAATCTAGTCTGCAGGACAAATAGTCTGCATGAACCATGGACTCATCTACCCTGAGACCAGAAGACACAGATGATGCGCAGCTACCACTATGGACAGTTCTAATCAGGGCCACAATAGATGGATCCTGACAGAATGGGAAAAACAACACGGAACAGAAACTCAAATTCCTTAAAAAAAAAAAAAAAAAGCCCTACCAGACTGGTTGAGACTAGAGGGCTCCCTGAGGAGATCAGTGCCCTGGGATACTTTTTAAACCTTGTACCAAAACTAATCCCCAAGATCACCTTATAGCTAAATAACCTACTGGCTCAAAAAGTAATGAATATCACCTCTATGAGACCAAATAGTCAACAATTACTTTAAAACAAAAGATGAGAGTGTAAGAAGGCAGGAAAATGAGATTCAGAAAAAATGAGAAATCTTCACATATTTTAAAGAATGTAACCAATGTCACTGAACAACTTGTGTACAAACTGCTGAATGGGAACTTAAACTGCTATGCAAATTGTCACTGAAAACCTAATAAAATGTTATTTAAGAAAAAAATCCTAACTTTAAAAATCCATAAAGGAAATGCATACTCAGTTCATAGACATTTTCCAAATTAAAGCAAGTCTTCATTACCAACTCCAGTTTCTCAACACATCACAACAAAACACAGATAATAAAACTTGGAGGCCCTTGTTTTATGTGATTTGTAAAAAGAGATTTTAATGCATATCACTCTTTCTTAAAATGTGGCCCAGGGATTAAGTATATAGGCATCATTTATACTGCTTCTTAAAAACTTCAGATACTGGGCCTCTTCTCTGACCTGTTGTTGCTGTTATGTGCCGTCGAGTTGGACCCGACTCATAGTTCCCTCCTTGGGTTTCCAAGGCAGTATCACTACAAGTAGATTGCCCCATCTGCCTTCCGAGGAGTGGCTGGTGGGTTTGAACCACCAGCCTTCTGGGTAGGAGTCAAGTGCCTTAGGTACTACACTACCAGAGCTCTCAACTTCAGACAGAGGGCTTAGCCAGGCTGCGCTTAACAAACTCCTTGTTTGTTAAGAGCTTTGACAAAGACGTTAGAGTCACAACACCCACAGGTGGTATTTCTTCACTGATTTTCTAGCATGGAGGGACAGAAGCTACAAAATAGTGATATTATCCTGTCCTCGTTTTCCAGTTTTATAAAGTACATGTATTTCTATTCTCAGAACCAAACCCTGTAATGATCAAAATGGTTGCATAAGGACATATGTCCCATTCTGCTTTTAGAAAAGAACTTACTATCCATTTTTCTTTCTTCAATTATTTAAAGTGCACATCAACCCTTAAAAATTAACTACTCATCACTGCAATCCAAGCTAATGGAGGTGTATATAATACGTCACTTGAAAATCTGATGAAATAAAACATATAAGGCTGTTTATTTGTTGCTGAGGAGGTGTAAAGCTTTAATAAGGCAATATTTCCATTGCTTCAAATTAATCAGTGCAGAAATACATGGTGAGCATTAAAAAAAAAAAAAAAGAACAAAAGAGCATTGGATAAGTATCCAGCAGGACTTATTTCCTAATTATGCCGAAAGTTTACATGCATTTCAAACTCTTATCAATTGGAAAGAATCTTGGGAATTTTTAAATAACTGAACAAATGAAAACAGTATCTATTAAAAACAATTCATTTCTTCTTCCTGACAAATCATATGGATATGCTAGGAGAGGAGCTAGCAAAAAAAAAATAATAATAATAATAAACTCTAAATGTATTTATTTTATGTTTATTCTGATGCTGTTAATACAGTGCACCATACACAAATACTATGCTTCTGCTTTTTAATTGTATGGAATTATGTATAGCCTGTAATAACTAGACTAACGGCAAATAATTCTAACAGCTTCAGCAACTCTGTTTTGCTCTTGTATTGACTTCATTTCGCAATACTTCCCACAGAAACAAAAATGAAGATAATTTGTGACCCTAAATCGCAATGGTCATATCTTTTAAGGCAGTACATTAACTTGAAGTTGGGCGGGCATGTAAACCTTGAAACCTGTCCTCCGCAGAGAAAAGACGTATCGGACTATGCCCTTGTCTTCCTCGTGTTTTTTTTTTTTTTTTTCCTCTTTTGGCTAGGGGTAGTAATTCACACTATTTTTCTCTGCAGTTCTCATGTGCTTCTCTTGTCCCAGAGAAGATCCTCTGCCATCTGCAGTGCACTCTCGACCCCCTCTGGCGTTTCAGACTCGCACAGACACTAAGAGAAGTGAATCCAAAAGAACCACTACAACTGCTTCCTAGGGGTGGCCATGTCCAGCTGCCCACTCCCTCCTCTCTGGAGAGGCCTGGGCGCCCGCTGGTCCCAATCATACTCTATTTGGACTGATGGGCTAGGAGGGAAAGGGACCTTCGGTGTCCCTCCCCGTGGGTCTTGGCATCTGACTGACCTCCGCACGCCCCACCCCTGCCAGCACCCTGGCAACCGGCGGGACACTTTGCCCAGAACCCTGTTTCAGTCTCCCATTCTCATTTTGTCTTGTCCTCCCGTTCCTCTTTCCTCTTTCTGTATTTCTGTCATCAATTCTTTGACGGCGAGAGAAAACTGCTAAGAGCTAATGTCTCCTTCCCATATATATGTGTGTGATTTCCCACAACCTTTATCCGCCCCTTTTCCCCAAAACATGTCAAGGCTCTGAAATGCAAGGCACCTTCCCTTCATCCGAAAGCCAACGTTACTCTCTCAGTTGGTCAATTTTAAACCCGCACATACTGAAGCCTCCTCTTCATTTAACAGTATTCTGTCCCAGTGCTAAGCACTTCCTCCACCATTTGTGGTCTACTACCGCCTCCATAAAACAACAATAAAATACCACCTACAGAAATAGTGTGAATTCCAGGAAGAAAGAGTGCGTGTGTGCACGGTGAGTGTGCACCCGTGCCCGTCACCCTTCGGAGCCGGTATGGGTCCTGTGCATGTGGCCGCGGGGTACAAGACAGACAGCTCAAACTTGCCCTGGTAGGCTGAGGCTTGGCCCTCTGGATCTCACCTGGCCGCTCACAGGTAACTGGCGAAGTGCCCGCCCAGAGCGTTCTAAGACACCTGGCCGAGGCAGAGCCAATGCCAGTAAACTGAGGACACAGGGAGCCTTCTCCCGCGCGTTTATTTTCCAGCTGTCCTTCTCTCAGGGGTGTTTTGGTTTTGTTCACTCACGCCTTCCCCAAAAGACAAATAGGACCTCACTCTGCCATACAGCCTTACCTCAAACAGCGGACCGATTTTGTTCTTCTCCAGGTAAGCCTGGATCCGGGTTTGCTGATGAGACGCCATGGAGAGACCTAGACCAGGCTGCGGAGATAGTGCAGACAGAGCACGCGGCGGTTCGCCTCCTCCAGGGACGACCCTCCTCTCCCTGGACTTGGAGCCGGGACGCACGCTCCGCACCTCAGCTGCCCAGGCGCGGCGGCTGTGCCTGACCGCGGGCGTGGGCGGCAGATCCAGGAGCCGCGCGGGGCGAGCGTGTGGGGCGCCTACAGCCGGAAGCCCGGGGACAATACCGCCAACTCAGACAACTCCGCCGCAAGGGGCGAACTCATTCATCGCACCAGCTACCTCGCCTACCCTCTGCTCTCCTCAGAGCCCAGGGCGAGGGAATGGGAGGCAGAGGCTCCTTTCTCCTCTGGGCGACAGCAGCAGGATTCTCCTGGTGGAAGCGACCGCGGGAGCCGCCTGGAGCAGTCTCAGGGGGCGGGTGGGGGCGCACTGGGGCCCAGGGGCGCCAACTCGTGGCCAGCGCGCGGGCGCGTAAATGTGTGTGTTTGTCCGCGCGCGAGGGTAAGCCCTCTTCTCCCAGGTTACAGTAACAAACAGCCCGGGCTTCTCCCATATGCTGTCTCGCCTTGCCTGCCGCTCCCTAGCGACAGTGCCGCTCAAAAAGCCAATGGTGAAGGTGCTTCTTTTAAAGTGCACATAAATCTGCTGCTTGTTGGCTGCTCTTAGGCAGCTAGCTACAAATGCAGTTCGAAAGGGTGTAGTCCCCACTGCCTCTCCTGAGCCGCTCCTTGGCACCTTCTTTCTGTACTACTAGCTCTGGTTCAAGATAACAGTCTTTGCCATGAAAATGAAGTTTCCTTCCTTTATGGAATTTGGCTTGGCCAAGAACAAGTTGACAGGCAGCGAATGCAGGCTGAAAACTCAGCTGAATACTCCCAGAGGGCAGACACCCAAAGGCTGGGGGCAACCCTTCAGCATTTAACGGGGAGATGAGATAAAACCCTTCCAGTTTGCCTTCCTAAACCATTCCTTAAATTATATCTATACAGCTATATCGACACCTCAGGTGCAACACTATTCCACTTAACAATATTTCTTCTAGGTAGTTCATAATCTCCTCAAATTTAGCCAATACCACTTTTATTATGCAGGGATTTCAGAGTCTAGGAAACAGATCTGGAGCTAGTGTAGGTTTCTTCACAGACCTCTCTTAGTGAAACAGAACCTTGAGGCTCTCAGAGGAAATTTCCCTGTATCCTAACCACAGTGTGTTGCCAATGTCAAAAGTTGTATATTAATAAGTGTGAATGTTTACAATAAAAGAAATAGTTTTCCTTAGAACATACTGCAACCTATAGTTTCTTTTTTATTTCTCCATTGTGTAATTCATAATTTTATTTCTCTACTGTGTAATTTCATAATTTCTTTATTACATTTCTTCCATATTTTAAATGATACGTGAAAACATGCAAACAGGATGATAAAAATGGATCATTGATATGAGAGGCTGGACTATTATAGAAAATATAATTGCATTTAATAATTCAGAAAATATAATTGCATTTAATAATCCATCTGGTGGGGTAGCTAGGATTTAAAGTTAAAGATCTTTGATAACTTGAAATAGACATAATTTAGGGTGGAAAGATGCCCAGGTTATTACTTTCACAGTTTGCCTCAAGTGATCTGCCCAGGGCGAGTTATATTGAGAAGCAGTCGAAGACCTAGGGTTATCATATGTTTACCATTGTAGTTCAAGGGTATACTTGCATATTCTTTAATAAGTTCAAAATAAATTAAATATACAGAATGAACAACAGTATTTTTATTTGCTATAAGTCATGGTGTATAAACTTAAGGAAAGCCATCTATGACCCAGGTATCTTTGATACCACATAGTACTGAAGAATAAGAATGATAACTTTCTGAAATCAAGAGCCCACTTTCTCCAAGAACCATAAGGAAGATGCTTCTGTAAATCAGATAATTAATAAACTTAATAAGTCTTCACTATTCTCAGATCACTAAACCTAGAATAGAAGAGACAAAGACTCTGTTGGCAAAATGGTTATATGTTTAAAATAAAATCTTAAAGATCCCAACATTTATGTATGCTAAAACACTAAGCATCCAAAAAATCATTTTTTTTAATTCAGAAAATAGTTTAGAAGTTTTTCATGAACTGTGTCAAACATTTGATATAGTTCTTCTTTCTTTCCACTTATCCTCAACCTGAATTCATTACTACAATAAATATTTATTGCACAGCATCCTTATAACAGATTTTATGTTACAACTATGGATTCAAAGGTGAAAGGCATTATCTTTGTCCTCAGATTTTTGTTCAGACTTGTTGAGAGGTAGCTGGCATATACATAAATAATGATATTAGAGTGAGGTGTGCTAATATATAAAACATGCTGTGAAACTTCCAATGATGGAGAAATGAATGTGCCTGGTATCCTTAAAGAACTCTTCATAAAGGAGATGATATTTGAGCAAAGTGTTGAAGGAAGATTAAAATGTTAATATTTTCTAGATAGCATTGGTGAAACGAGAATAGTGTTTCAGGCTTTGGCATTTAAAAAAAAAAAGGCATATGGCAAGGGGCAGAGGCATGAAGCTTGCTTGTTAGAGAGGTATATAGTAAATATGTGGAGAACTGACATGTGAGGCTATAACTATAAACAGAGTTCAGCTCATTGAATGTCTTAAATGTCTTCTTAAGAAAGATAGGCTTACTTCTTACCGGCAATGAAAAGTCACTGAAGGGTTTTGAGCAGGGGAGAGGTATAGTCAAAGAAAAGTTTTTGAAAGATTACTTTGGTTACAACATGCATGATGGATTGGTGAAGAATGGTATGGAGGTAACAAAACCAATTTGGGATATAGTCATCATACACAAATGATGAGGATCAATATTAGCACTCTGGATATAGGGACGGAGAGGATAAAGTGCATTCAAGATATATGTGAAGATTAATTTGTTGTTTAACTAGATGTAGGATGGGGATGGAAGGGGCCTCAAGAATGACCCTCAGATTTCTGAAATGAGGCTAAGAGATGATAAATTGTGCCCGTAAATCATCCAATGAATGACTCCAAAGCTGAAGCTATTTCTACTCTTTGCCCTGTATCTTGAAAAATTTGTCAAGAATTTAGTTTGTAGATATTAGCTTTTGTTAATAGATAGGGTTATGGCTCATTTCTTGGTACATAGTAGAACTCAAAGAAAACAAGAATCCTCACAACTGGACCAATAAGCAACATCATGATAAATGGAGAAAAGATTGAAGTTGTCAGGGATTCATTTTACTTGGATCCACAATCAATGCCCATGGAAGCAGCAGTCAAGAAATCAGATGTCATACTGCACTAAGCAAATTTGCTGCAAAAGATCTCTTTAAAGTGTTAAGGAGCAAAGATGTCACTTTGAAGGCTAAAGTGTACCTAACACTTGGTAATATCATGGTAATTTCAATCGCCTCATATGCATGTAGTATATCAGACAATGTTTCACCACTGTTCATAAGGTTTTCACTGGCCAATTCTTTGAGAAGTGGATGGCCACTTCCTTCTAAGTCTTGAAGCACTTACTGATGAAGATTAGAAACAACTGTCTGCAGTATGGATTACACCTCAACATAAAGAAAATCCTCACAACTCTCCCAAAATGCAGCATCACTATACATGGAGAGAAGATTGAGATTGTCAAGAGATTTCATATTACTTGGTTCCACAATCAACACCAATAGAAGCAGCAGTCAAGAAATTAGACATATTTCACTGGGCAAATCTGCTGCAAAAGACCTCTTTAAAGTGCTGAAGAGCAAAGATGTCTCTTGGAAGACTAAGGTGTACTTAACCCAAACCATGGTGTTTTTAATTGCCTTGTCTGTGTGTGAAAGCTGGACAATGAATAAGAAAGACTTGAAGACGTTTGAGTTGTGGTGTTGGCATAGAATACTGAAAGTACTATGGACTGTCAGAAGAGCTAACAAATTTGTCCTGGAAGAAGTTCAGCCAGAATGCTCCTTGGAAGCAAGAATGGCCAGACTTTGTTTCACCTACTTTGGTCATGTTGTTGGAAGGGACCATTCCCTGGGGAATGATATCGTGCTTGGTAAAATAGGGGGTCAGTGAGAAAGGGGAAGGCCCTCAATGGGATGGATTGACACAATGGCTGCAACAATGGCCTCAGGTATAGCAAGCATTATGAGGCTGGTGCAGGACCTGGCATTGTTTGGTTCTGTTGTACATAGGGTCACTGCGAGTCAGAACCAACTCACTGACACCTAACAACAACAACATATACATGTGAAATCTGGACAGTGAATAAGGAAGACCAAAGCAGAGTTGATGCCCCTGAATTGTGGTGTTGGCAAAGAATGCTGAAAATACCATGGGCTGCCAGAAGAACGAACAAATCTGTGTTGGAAGAAGTATAGTCAGAATGCTCCTTAGAAGTGAAAATGGCCAAACTTCATCTCACCTACTGCTCATGTTGTCAGAAGGAATCAGTCCCTGAAGAAAGACCATGCTTGGTAGAGGATCAGCGAAAAAGGGGAAAACCCTCAAAGAGAAGAATTTACACAGTGGCTGCAACGATGGCCTGAAGCATAGCAAAGATTATGAGGATGGTCCAAGTCCGTACAGTGTTTCATACTGTTGTCCACAGAGTCATTATGAGTCAGAGCCAATTCAACAGCCCCTAACAACAACAAACACTTATCTGTCAGTTTGTCACACTGTGGTGGTTTGCGTGTGGCTGTGAGGGTGGAGGCTATGCTACCAGTATTTTAAATACCAGCAGGCTCACCAATGGTGGACAGGTTTCAGCCGAGCTTTCAGATTAAGACAGATGGGGAAGAAGAATGGGGCCATCCACTTCTGAAAATATTGGCCAGTTGAAAACAACAGTAAAACTCAATAAATAGCAGTTGAATAAAACGAATGAAATGAATGGAATTTTAGATTGATTTAAACCTAGTATGTTCTATCATGCTAAAATTTGCCTATGACTCTTAACATTTATTCATTTAGTTTCATTTACTTATTTGCATGTGTATCTTAACATACACATCCTCTTTTGCTTCCTCATTAAAACTGCAAACTCTCTAAAATCATGAACTCAGTCTTAACAATTTTCTTTATGTTGATGTTGTTATGTGCCGTCGAGTCGGCCCTGACTCATAGCAACCCCTCCTTGGGTTTCCGAGGCAGTATCACTACGAAAGTAGGATTGCCCAACCTTCCTTCCGAGGAGTGGCTGGTGGGTTTGAACCACCAGCCTTCTGGTTAGCAGTCAAGTGCTTTAGCCACT